TGAAAGGAAAATAAAATCTTGGGACTCCAAACTCACTATGTTAAAAGGAAGAGTTACACTTGAGAACTGGGTCACGCAAAATCTGCCTTCCCTTTTGTATGTAAACAGATAGGTGCAATGATAGAAGGCCACTGTTTCTCCAGGTGGCCACCCTCCTTTTACATATAATTTGTGGATTCAGTGAGTACTAATCAAACCCTCACAAGAAAGTGACCACTTACCTCACTACCTACCCTCCCTATTACTTTCTTTCCTCCTTCTCTCCTGCTTCTTTTCCCGCTTTAAATACTGAAGCCCTCAAACACCTCTTTGGAAAAAGCACAGATCACAGATGCTACTGCAACCTGTGTCTCTTTTTCTCAGTTGCATCCTCAATCTTGGTAAAATAAACCTCTAAATTGATAGAGAGCTGTCTCAGACACTTTCTCCCTTAGCAAGTTAAGAATTAATTATTAAATCTGTTTAGTGCAATTTGTTGGACTGGACTAAAGTCAAGAGATCTGGGTTTTGTTCTGCCTTGTTGGTCCCCAGGTTTCTTATTTGTGAAGTGAGAGTGTTGATGGTCTCTTAAGTTTCTTTTAGGTTTTAACGTCTGTAGAAATGCTGGTGTGTATATGCTGCAGAACAAGAGAACCATCAAACTGCTCTCAACATATGTCAGAAAAATTATGACAAAAAGTATTATGAGGGTTGATAACACCTGTATTTCATATGTGAGTTGCTTGGGTGGATTAAAAAATTATAAATGTAAATGCAATTATTGGTATAACAATGATATAGTGGCTGAGTTAGTATACAATAAGTTAATGAAAATAGAAGCAGGAAGCTGGATTAAATGTGATTGAGTTGTAGTTCTTTCTCTTAAAAAATTTTCTGGCATTTGAACCTAAGAACCAAATAGTGAGAAAGATAAAACGATTATCCTTTCAGCAGAGCCCAGAGCAAGGAGAACACATTGGCCATGACTGCTTTCCAGAACATTGTTTCAGGTATAAATATATGCACTGTAAATTAATAGCATTCTCTCTTACCAAAAAGAATATGAGTTTCTTTTTTCCCATGTACCATCTAGCATGAAGGCAACACTCATTACAAGTTGAATATAATGAACACCCATTGAGTGGTTTTATTTATGGGAGCACCAATGCTGATGGACCCAAAAGTATGTTCTATGAGATTTAGAATATATGCATTACTCTCAAAACCTAAAAACAATTGCAGAAATTAACAACATGAATACTTCAAGACCCTGAATAAAGCAATTCTGGCCACTCATTGTGTCTCATTAAAGCACACAAGCTCATATACATGAACATACATTCATAACTTTACACTTCCCAGTTTGTTCTCTGTAAAAGTTACATGGTCTGTTTTTCTGTTCATGGTTTGTTTTCCTCTCTTTATTCCTATTGGGTTCATATAATATTTATTTCATACATTTTCCTAACATTAGAATGCAAAATCTATGGATAACAGTGTTATTTATCAGTTATACTTTATTGATATGGAAGATGACTCAAAGAGTTTGCCATTTATTTCCTTTCTTTTGAATTTCTCAGAGCCCTAATAATTGCTTGGCTTCTAAACTGAAGTGCCAAGCACCTTTTGCAAAAACCTTACATTCTCTCTTAAACTATGAAAACTCTTTCCACACAAACACCAGACTCAAGAGAAGTTAATCGATAGGGCATATGTGCATCCCCTCCCTGTTCATGTTTCTGAAAAAAATCAAATAGACCCCCCCACCTCAAAACATGATAATTAAGTGGTATAAAAGTAGCAATTTCATCTAGGAAGGCTTTTAGCTGGTTTGCTTTTGTGTGTTTTTGAAGCACGGTGGGAGAAGTGGTAGCACCATTATGAATGCTTAGAGAATATTTGCACCAAAGCCATGTGCCTACCTATCTGTGCAAACAAGGAAAGAAAATTGAGGTAGTAAAACCTGTAAACTAAGACAGAAATGGGACCCTATGAGATGCATTACAGGAGCTGAGCACAAAGGACTGAACAGGATCAACAGCTTCATTTGCTAGGGACTGGAGTTTAATGAATGATTTGAAGGATACGCAAGCCATGGGACAATACAAAACTTTCAGGCACCCTGTAGATCATAAAATATGTGGGGAGATCATTTCTCTAAGGCAAGGATAGAAAGTTCCTTGCTGTATAGTAACGCATTGTTCTGCCTGATGCTTGCAGTCAGGCCAATAATAGGTGATTAGATAACCATCTCTCAGTTGCTACATGAGCACTCAAACTAACTGAAGTAGAGTGTCCTCTCCTCTCAAAACACTGGTTTTTCAAGCAACAGACACCTAGACCTAGGGATTTTAAATGCATTGCTTTTGATTTCATATAACTTAGTTGGGTAGTGAAAGCTAAGTATATATAACTTGAATTTTTCTTGGAGTTTTTCTTACATTTCTGATTGATTTCTTATGAAAAGTGACCTTAAAGGGCACCCACATTCTCCCCAAGGCAGAGGTTGTTATTAATACGTTAGTAGGGCTCAGTCAGAAGAACTCCAAAAGTTGCTCCCTTTATTTTGTTAAGTTCTCTATATCAGCTTCTATGTGCACCTTTATGTAAGGACTCACCGTGCAGGCCAAATGTTCCTTTCTCTAGATAGCTTATAAGCATCTGGATAAATTTGCATTAGAAATTCAATTAACTTTATATTAAAAGGTCAATTAACTTGGCCATGATAGAGATTGTTTTTAATTACTTTTTCTTGTAGGGCTTCTCTTCTTGTCCAAGCACAAGTGACACTATCAAATGATAGTCTCATTGCCTGTTGGTTGCCTGAAACTCATATCCAAAACACATAGAAAATAACTGTCTTGGTTAAATGAATTAATAAGACATTCTTTAGACAATTCATAAGTATTATAATTTGGGGGACTTAAAGTATCCGTAACCAATAACAAAGTATTTAAGCTTAAATACCCTCCATGGTATTGTTCATGACAATCCCCTTCATTGTCTTTGTTGGTTTCTATTTTCTTGGAGAAAGATGATAATAAAGTAAAATGATTTGAAGGATTAGTTCTTATTACACTATATCACAGTGTATTTCAAGAAAAATTAACAAATAATGACATTACAAATCTGTGATCTCTGTCAGGCATGGTGGCTTATGCCTGCAATCTCAGCACTTTGGGAGGCCGAGGCAGGCAAATCACTCAAGGTCAGGAGTTCAAGACCAGCCTGGCCAACATGGTGAAACCCCATCTCTACTAAAAAACACAAAAATTAGCCTGGTGTGGTGGCGGGTTCCTATAATCCCAGCTACTTGGGAGGTTGAGGCAGGGAGAATTGCTTGAACCCAGGAGTCAGAGGTTGCAGTGAGCCAAGATTGTGCCACTGCACTCTAGCCTGGGCAACAGAGTGAGATTCCATCTCAAAAAACAAACAAAAAACCAAAAAATCAGTGATCTCATTTCATTAGAGAGCTCTTAGTTATCTTTGTGTTAATATGAGCCACAATTCAACTCATTCATGGGGCACTAGAACACTTATACTTAAGAAGTTCAAGGGATTACCACTTAGCATTAAGTTACAAGTGACAATAGGGTCCACTTGATATTAAATTGTAACCATTATTGAACTATCACTCAGGCAAAATAAAATAATTAAAGATAAATATATCAATAATATATCTACATATTTTGTACATTAATGCATTAACCCAAACTTCCAGATGAGTAGCAACTTAAAAATGAAGCAAACACTGTTCAGGAGTTGATATGAGGAAAAGTCTTGAGATGAAACTTATTTCACTTTTGCAGAAGAGAATAGCCTTCACCCTCCAGGAGCAATAAGATGTCCTAAGCACTTTGTAAATGCTACCTATATCACTCTCACTACAACCTTATCAACCTTATGAGATAACATTCATTGTTCTCATTTTACTGATGTTTCAGCCAAGATCATACAGTTCATTGGAGGCCGAGTTACCTGTGTTCATCTACCTTTGCAGACTTTCAATTTTCCCCTAGAATGAAAACGCTGGATCTAAAAGTAATGAGACTATAAAATGCCTGTAAAAGGGTGCTTAGGGTTGGGTGTGGTGGCTCACGCCTATAATCCCAGCACTTTGGGAGGCCAAGGTGAGTGGATTATGAGGTCAGGAGTTCAAGACCAGCCTGGCCAAGATGGTGAAACCCTGTCTCTATTAAAAATACAAAACTTAGCCAGGTGCGGTGGTTGGCGCCTGTAATCCCAGCTACTCAGGATGCTGAGACAAGAGAATTGCTTGAACCCGGGAGGTGGAGATTGCAGTGAGCCAAGATTGCACCACTGCACACTCCAGCCTGGGCGACAGAGACTCCGTTAAAAAAAAAAAAAAAAAAACAAGCGGGTGCTTAGGAGTGCTCTGAATGCTAGAGGTAATTCTAAGCATTCAGTTTTAGAACTAAGAGGAAGGGAACAGATTAGGCCCATGCCACTCAAAGAATGTGTCCACAAGAGTATAAATTAACTCTGTCGTTGAGCACAATTTTTCCCCATGGTGAGACTTTCTCAATGAAAAAAGCTATGCATCAGTTTATATTCCAGTGCATATTTCTAATCTTCACATGGACAAATAACAGTTTGAAAAGCAGTAACCAGTCCATGAACAAGGCTTTAAGTGGCACAAGCTTAAGAAGCTTCTTACGAGATTTTCCTTTTCTGTGAGTATTTTAATCATTTTGGATAAGAGTTATCTTTAAAATTATCCTATTTGATTTTTCATTTATCAAAAGAATAAGTCACATCCCTTTTTCACAATAGAAATCAATAGAGATAGTAATGAAGGCTAGTATCCTATACCCCGTAAATCTCTGGGGGCATTAATGTTAGTTGAAGTAATATTGCTAGTTTTAATAAGCTGATTTCTTCCATCAGCAAAAAGAAAAAAAAAAAGAAAAAGAAATCTTCCTTAAAAAATGAACAATATTGTTATCACATAGCATAATGTTTGAAGTGAAATAGAAACTTTAAAAATATATTATTCATACCTGCACCTCCGCCTATGCTGAGAATCTTAATTTCTGATTTTGTGTCTCCAATCCTGAAAGAAAAAATTATGTAGTTTTAGAAAAATGTGTTAGGTGCTTTGTGAAATCTGATTATCTAGTCTAGTTGAAGAGAACAGACTAAAAATACAATGAATGAAAACTAGGCCAACATGAAAGTTCCCAATTATACCAGTTACATTGCCATCTTTAGAGTATATTTCAAAATATAGGTTATATTCATTAACAGTCTTGAACTGGGAGACTTGGAAATGGCAGTAATTACATCTCAGAGGTAGAAAATGCCATTTGTTTGAATATTGTTTGGAGAACAAGAATAGAAAAAGTGGAGTTTTGAGTCTGGTAATATAATAAGCCACCCATCGTAGATAGGGAAAAGGCTCAGGTGGTTCCCACTATCTATAATGTCTGCCTTCTTTCCTCCCCCACCCCTTTTTACCTTCCTTTTAATGAACAAATGTTTATTAAACATGTATTATGTGTATTCTATCCTAGGCATTAAAAAAACAGATATCACTTTGCTCTCAAAATGAAATGTGACATAATAAAGCCCTGAATTATGACTCAGGTACTAGAAATAGAATGAAGTAGATAGATTGGGAAATAAGCCAGTAGGACTTGCTGTTAGATTGATGTGAAGACATAAAAAAAAAAAAAATATGAGTGTGCAATGACTTCCCTGTTTCAGGCTTGGATGACTGGGAAAAGGGTGATGCCAAAAAGGAAGCTGAGAAATATAGTTTGGCAGCAAACTTATGCTTTGTCAGGGCTTTTTAAAAAAATAAATACAAATTCGGCAAACATTTGAATTTGCAAGATTTAAGCTGGGAGAAGAGAAATCAGGGTCAGTGATGTATTCTGGAGAATCATCATCATAAAGTAATGGTCAATGCTAGAAGAGTAGATTCCATCACCCAAAGATATTGCAGAGTTAGAGTAGTAGTGGATGGTGATGCAATACCAACTTCTAAAGATAACTGGATTGTGAAGAATACACAAAGAAGACAGAGAAGAAAAGAAAGCACAGAGAAGTACTAGAGTAACTGGAGGCAGAGAAAGCCCTTAGTCGTGGCAAAAGCAGCAGAGTGTACTACTTAAAAAAGGAAAAATCTATACCAAATTTGGCAATATAAGTGTCTTTAATAATAGCAGTTTTAAAAGAAGACTGAAGACTGCAGTCAGATGGCAATGGGATTAAAAGTGAGCTCAAAAATGAGGAAGCAGATCTGGAGTCTGTTGAAAAAGGATGAAAGAGAGAAGGAAAAGAGATGACTGCTACAGGGGAACCATGAAGGGAAAAGGATGGTGTTTATTTCTTTGGACTGTGGGGTGGTAAACAAACCTGTGTTTTCTCTTCATTGCAAAAGCTTGCACAGTCACAGGATGGGAACAAAGGTTGAAGTAAGGTTCTAAAGGAATCTTGCAAAGTCTAGGATCAAGAACACCTATAAATGAGTTGCCTTTTTCAGTTCTAATTATCCTCCAGTTCATAATCCTGCATCCTAACACATCCATTTCTATCTTAACCTTTTGTTCATTCTTTAAAATGCTTACATCTATGACAGCATAGGGAGGCTATGAAGCAGAGGACCCAAGTTGAAATCCCAGGTTACTGATATGTTACCTTGAGCAAGTTATTTGACATCTCTGTGAAATAAGATAATAATATCACCTCTCTTGTAGGATTATTAGTAACTGTTTCTAATTCATGGAGAAATTGTGAGGATTCAATTATTTAATTCATGTAAAGTTCTTAGAAATGTAACTGCACATGACAAGCACTCCACATATATTAGAAATTATTATGATTCTAGGCACATGTAAGTGACTTATGTGAATCACCTCTTTGAATCCTTAAAATTCCTCTATGAGTTAGATACTATTATTCATCCCATTTCACATATTATAATGACATCAAACAATTATTGAAAACTTACTATTTTCTAGCCAAGGATTTAAAAGTTTTATATGCAGCACCAATAACCAAGTTTACCATTTATAGTTATATACTATAATTTTTCCTGCCCCCAAGCTCTGCCCCACCATCTACCCCCAAATAGGGGATTGAAGAATTCCTCTATAGGGAAACAAATCATCTCAGTAATAAAGTTAACATGATTTCATATCTGAGGATCACCCAGGAAAGAGCTGAGTCCACACTCAATTACTCATTGAGCTACTCACTCAACAAACCCTGCCCTGACTTACACAAAGAGAATCTGACTACCTTTTAGTGCGTCATTATTTGATTGAACAGAAAACCAAGGCTCATTAGGCAGTTGGGGAGCTGTCAAACATAAGAAACAGAGACTGAAAGAGGCAGAGAGAGCAGAGGAACATTTTGTAATGAATAAGAAGGTATTACGTCTGAGAATGATGAAAAGAATGCTATAGAAAACATTCTTGGAAATTAAAAATATAATAGTAAAAAATTAATAGATGGGCTGAAAGAGAAAGTCATAGCAAACTGGAAATACAAGAAAATTAGGTAATCAATCCAGGAGGTATTTGATGAGTAAAAGTTTCAGAAAAAGAAAACAGAGGGGAGGAATGATTACCAAAGTTCCTCATAACTGAAGGGTCTGAATCTCAACCGAAATAGCCCAGGGAGTACCCACAAAATGGGTGAAAAGGAACCATTTCACAACTCACTATTTTAAAATTTCAGAGTACTAGAGATAAGATTCTAAAAAGTTCAAAATAGGGAAAACAAAACACATAATGTGAAGTTATTCCACAACCCAAGGATGAGAATTTTGAGTAGCATTTGATTTCTTTTTTTCTCTTGTGTGAGACAGGGTCTCACTCTGTCATCTCGACTGAGTGCAGTGTCGCAATCATGTCTCACTGAAGCCTTGATCTCCCGGACTTAAGCAATCTTCCCACTTCAGCTTCTGGAGTAGCCAGTGCTACAGGTGCAAGCCACCTTGTTCAGCTAATTTTTTTACTTTTTCTGTAGAGATGGGATCTTGCTGTGTTGCCCAGGCTTGTCTCAAACTCCTGGGCTCAAGTAATCTTCCTGCCTCAGTCTCCCAAAGTGCTGAGATTACAGGCACGAACCAACACACCTGGCCAGTATTTTATTTGTTAACAGCAATTCTGGTATCTAAAAGACAATGTAAAAGTACCTTTAGATGTATGATACAAAACCATTTTCAGTATACAGTTCTATATCCAGTCAAACTGTCTAACTCCGATGAACATAGAACCAAGGGATTTTTAAACATCCAAAGTCTCAAAAAGTTTACCTCTCATTCACTCTTAAAGCTTTTAAAGAATTAGTTCAGGAAACAAAGGACTGAGGAAACAAAGAAAAGAAAAGCATGAGATACAGAATCAGGAAATCAAATACTTCAGAAAGAAAATGATTCTCAGAAAGTGAAATAAACCCCCTCCTTAATAGTTGTATAGCAGGCCAAAGCAGATCTTCCTAAACCGAAAAAAAGAACAGAAGGCTTCAGAAAAGTTGTTCCCTTGGGGTAAAATAAACAGATTCCTTGATATGTTTGCATATATTGAGATGAGATTAGTATATCTGCTTCGGAATCAAGGTAATAATAGGTACATAGAGAACTAAGAAAAGAAACCAAAATTAAGGCAATAGTCAACTCTAGGGAAAACAAAAAGTTGTACATAAAAGGAAATGTAAGCATAGTATAATATATTGCTTAATTATTAATAATATGTACATAGGCAAAATAACATAAACACTCAAATTATTTAACCAAAATTTTGATTAAATATAGTGACATGAAAGGGTGGGAAATACGCATGCTAATTAGCTAGTTTAGTACAGCAAAATGAAGAAATGGAAAAATAACATGTTATTTTGAATTATGAAAGAAAATTCCATAAATAACTAAAAGATTTCAAAGTGCTGAAAGTGGTTGCTTCTGGAGAGTGAGAATCAAGAATGGAGTGGGTGGGATTTGTTATAGGCCCCACCCACTTTAGAACCATTTGATTGTTTTTAGAACCATTTGATGTTTTAAAATATGAGCACGTCTTGCTTTACTAAAAATTTAATAGGCTCGCTCCATACTCAATTAGCACAGTGAGCCACCAACTCAACAAACCCTGCCCTAACATACACAAAGCGTATCCTAATCACGTTTTGGTACTTCATAACTCATAGACAACTTTAAGCAACAATTTTAAAGGTTCTTCAGCTAAATCTTATTTCAAACACTACCTTCAGGAAAAAATTACTTTTTAAATAAATGACACTGAGTCTGATCATTCCTAACTATATACTATTGTTAAAAGACAAACAGTGTGCCCTTAAAAATTCTTTAGTCTTTCACAGATTTTATAATATTTCCAGTTAGATTTAAACTTTGAAGATAAGGAAGGGGTCATTCATCATTTATTACGTTATCTCCATCCACAGCACCTCTTCAAACCAAACTCTGTATGGCTGAAGAAAACCAAGGATCTGGTAAGCTACAGACATGAGCAATACTTTTGGTACTGGAAAAGAATTGAGAAATTAACTCATTACCTTTAACTTTAGAAGTGAGCAAGGAAACCCAAAGAGGTTAACTATAATTAGTTCCTAGATGAGAAGTTATCTGTATTTGCCATCTGCTTTGATGTTTGGCATCCTTATCCTATTATATATTAATTTTTAATATATAGTATCCTATTTTTTGAAAGCTAACATTTAAAATCTGAATCATGTTAAATAGAAAGGAAAATAAAATTTTATATACATCTAATAATGCCTGCTCTGGTCAGACATAGGTACTGCCCTGGTGAAAGAATTTCAGGCCTATAATAGAGAAATTTAGCAAAAGATAAAATACCACTTTCCTTTGCTGTTTGCAAATTGGATCCATAGTCATTTCTTCCCAGTTTTCCATTATTATTTCCTGAAGCAGAGTGAGTTACAGCAAATCACCCCTAGAAAGGTGATTTGATTATCTTTAGCATGTGGAATCTGTTACTCTCATAATGCTTATCAGCTCTGACACAAATTGAACACATTAATCACCCCAAAAAAGAACTCTGCAAGAAGGATAGGAACCAGTGAGTTTCACTGATAATGGGAAAATGGTTCTTTTTTTAAGGAACACGTTGCTAATATTAAGTTGAAAGAAAAAGACAATTTTGGGGAAGAGAGTGATAACTATAACAATGGATAAGGAAAATGAATTTAAATGGATATTATGAGAACTGAGGGACTCAGTCCTCAGGGCAAATCTTACTTTGGCAATTATTTATATTTGATTCTAATGAAAAGTATACCAGACTCCCTTTGGGCCTTTTCGGGGATGTAAAATTTGGAGGAGGGCTGAAAAGTCTGAGTTCGAAGATTAGCATCTTATCTTTTTCCAAATGAACATGGATTTGTGCTTTCAAATGGTTAACGCTTATCTGTATGCAGCTGGAAATACAGCACAAAAGGGAGCCTTTAAGTGTTTAAAGCAAACGTAGAACCAAAGCACTGCAGGAGAAAGGCAGGGCAGGGCAGCGAGGAGGGGGACAAGGGGGAGTTGCTATCAGTAACTCGCCCTTATCCCCGTGCCCAGCCTGCGAGGCTGAGCTAGACCCATCTATCACTGACGCACAGCGAGTCTCAGGCTTGTCCCTTTGACAACAACGTCCCTTTTGTTACCTTGCTATTATGCCTGGCAGCTTCTTGTCCATGAATTCCTGCATGCACTGGTGTTCCGTGGAACGGCTGAGAAACCTCCGGAAAGATTCAACATATCTCCCGTGGTCAGAAAACAAGCTCCTCATGGAAGATGCCATGTTTGGTTTTCTGAGAAAGACAGAGTGGGAAGCAAGGTTTAACTTCCCCTCCTTCTCTTCCCAGTTCCCTCATTCTTTCCCCACCCCCACCAGTTTCTATCCAAAAAAAAAAAAAAACGCTAAGCTTGTTTTGAATTTAACATGCACCAAAGGCTGGCATGCAGAGCTCATTACTGACTCAATATTTGAACAGCACTTTGCACTGATACTTTAACCCCTACACGGTTGTTTTATAAGAAATAGAAGTACTAAAGCAAGGCTGTAAATACACTGCTAAAACTTTTCAAACTCCTGATGTTGAAAGGTCATAAAAACAGACTGTATTCAAATCACTTCCTGTTTTGCCAGCAGAGCCACAAGTAAGTTCCAAGTGGGAAAGTGACTGTTCAAAGTGGCAAATGCAGGATGAAAAGGACAGCTACACAGCACTCTCAGAAATCTACAGCAGTGAAATCTTTGGCGAAAGACTGTCATCTGCCTCTGGGCTTTCTACAGGATTGTTTTGGCCTTTACATCCCTCAGCACTTGAATTTTCAACTTATCTGTTGCATTTCTTCAAATGCTGATTTGTGGTAACTCAAATTATCTTAAGAAGAAGTCACCAAGGAGGAGCCCAAGAACTCGTAGCTAGAAGCTGTCAGAAGCTGCATTTAGGGGATTGAGAGTGGTGAGAGAAGTCTTGGAGCAAGAATGCAGGACACCAGGGTAAAAGCCCAGTCCGTAGAATCCTTCCCTAAGCACTTTGAACATGACGAGGTCAAAGACAGTTCGCTTGGCTGGTTGAGCCTTTGGAAACCCAGTGGTGTCACCCACCAGAAGACCCAAAGCTTCAGAGTACTCACACAGTCTTTCTCCTGGGAAGTGGTCTTTAAGAAGGTATCTAATTCTTTATCTAATACTGAGTTGTTAATAATAGCATCCAACTCATGGAGGAGTTGTGAGGATCAAATGAGTTAACTCATTATAAGTCTCTTAGAAATATGTCTGCTTAAACCGTCCCCTTCTAATTGAGTTCCCAAACTGCCCTCTAAGCATTCA